CGCCGCCCCTGGCGCCCTGCGTGGGGCTGCCTGTGTCTGCTCAGGACAGCCCCGCGCGGGCTGCCAGCAGCTGCAGCAGGGAGTACTGGCAATGGGATGGGGGAGGGTCTGCTTTTCCCTGTGCTCCGCATCAGCTCCTTCCTTGCTGGCGAGCAGGGGGTCGGAGCTGCATGCTGCCCCCTGCCTGTACCGCGGGACTGGGGGGCACTGGGAGTGAGTGGGTGGGGAGCCAGTGGGAGCACGGGTCCTGCACCAGTGTGTCCCAGGTCCAGCACCAGCAGGACCCAGAGCAGGGTGGCAGGAGCACGGGGTCCCGGCCGGCAGTGGCTCCATTGAGCCAGTGCAACGAGGGGGCTCTATGGAGCTGGCCCGGCTCCCCCCTCTCCCTGCTGATGCAGCCCAGCCCGGCTCCACAGACCCCTGCCAGCCTGCACCCTGCTCTGGGCCCCATCGGTGCTGGCCCTAGGACATTTGTCCCAAAACATTGGGACATTGGTTCCAAGATAGTGGCCAGGGGGCGGGGCACCTGTCAAGCGGTGGGGCTGCCCATGAGGCCCCTGACAGCTTGCCAAAACTGGGTAAGTAGCCCTCTGCCGAAAATAATTGCCTGCCCCTGGACTAAAGGGTGGAAAAAATACCTAGGGGCCCAGTAAGGGGTCCAGGGGCCCAGTAAGGGGCAGTGAGTAGGACCGAGGAGTCCAGGAGCCCAGAGATGGGCTGGGAGTGGGAGTGGGACCAGGGGTCTGAGAGCCTGCAAGAGGCGGAAGTAGGGGCCATGGGACCCAAAGCCTGAAAGGGGCAGTGTGTAACTCCAGGTAGAAAGGCTGTGCTCAGGAGTAGCCAAGAGAGGCAAAATGCCTGGGAGAGGCAGGCCACTCTGGAAATGGAATAAACATCAGTGAGTGTTAACACCTGCAAGGCATGGGGCATGGTGTAGAGGTGGGCTGAGCCATGCAATTAGCCCTTAAGACAATGACCAAGGACCTCTGTCCTTCTGAGAAGGAGATCAGGTTTGGGAAGCCCTGGGGCAACCTCCCTCATCTGAAAACTAAATACATCAAGGTGTGCTGGGTGAAATGAAGGGGTGACTGCCCAAAGAGAGTAAGTGGATAGGGGCAGAAGGGACTCTAAGGGCACTAGGGCTACCCCTGGAGGTGAATCATGTTACAGGACCCCTCTACACATGCAGGTAAAAGTGCAGTAAGATTTAATGCATGATCCGTGCAATTGCACCTCTTGCCATGCCACACATGCTGATGAGGCTTGGTGGGGCTCTCAGCAGGGCCAGCGTTTGCCTTGTTGCCCCTGCAGCCCACATCAGCTGGAGGGCTCACTGCAAGGGCAGCAGAGAGAACACCGACCCTGCTGCAAGCCTCATGAGGTGTGGGGCTCTCAGCAGTGGCGGTGGGGAGAATACTGCTGCTGCTGTGAGCCTTGAGGTGTGGGGCTCACAGCGGTGGCAGCATTCCCTGCGAGCCCCGCAGCCCACGTTGAATGTGGGACTCAGAGCCGGGGCAGCGTTGGAAATGCTGCTGCCACTGTAAGCCCTGCACTTCAGTGTTCTTCCTGCTGCCCCCATTGCATGTCTGCAGCCAATGCGGGGGGAGGACCAGCATTCTTCCCACTGCAAGCCCCACAGCTGACCATGCTGCCACCACTGCAAGCTTCCTGGCTGCAGGGCTGGCAGTAGAGGATGCAACCCTATGGCTGGGAGCCCCTCAGTTGATGGAGCTCTGTCACAGGGGAGCACTGGGCCATACATTTAATTAATTACTTAATGGTATTGTCCCAGGGGAGCGGGGACGCCGGGAGACCCCCGTGGCGGCAAAGGGGCCCGCTTACCTCCCGCAGGGCCGGAGGAGCCAAAAGGAGTCCACGCGCCGGCGCGGGCCATCAGCCGGGCATTTATGCAGCTGAGCGG